GGCACTGCTAGCTTGAATCCAATGAATAGATATGTAATGTACAGCGATTTGATGTAATTAAAATGCCTAGTTGATTAAATTATAAATTTAATGTAATTAGTTTATAGACTTGATGCAAGTAATGGCCTAGTCAATTGCTTTACAGACTTGATGTAGTTACCACTTAGTTAATTGATGTGATATAATTCACTGCATAGTAACAATTATCTTGTTGCCTCACATAATTTTGACGTAAGAAAATATAAAAATAGTGTTGCGCAGGTATTCCACACAGTGAGCTTGATTCTCCTGCGTGACGATCTTCAGCTCCTCTCCTTGCTGTAATCGATTGTCGCTCGAATAAATTACTATTCCTGCTGAATTCCCAACAACTTCAGATTCTTCTTACCTCAGAGGCTGAGGTCACTCCAGCACAGGGAAAGAGGAGAAGGTAGTGGAATAGCATTGTTGGTTAAATAGGAAATTAACACAATAGTGAGAAAGGATATTAGCTCTGATAATTTGGAGTCTGCATGCATAGAGTTGAAAAATACCAAGGGGAAAAAACATTAGTGGGTGTCATATATAGACCCACAAACTGCACCAGTGGTGATGTTGGGAACGGCATTAAACAGGAGATTAGAGATGCATGTGATAAGGGAAGATCGGTAATCATGGGTGATTTTAATCTACACATAGATTGGGCAAATCAAATTAGCCACAATGCCATAGAGGAGGAATTCCTGGAGAGTATATGGGATGGTTTTCTTTACCAATATGCGGAGATACCAACTATAGAGTAGGCCATCTTAGGCTGGGTGCTGTGTAGTGACAAGGGAATCATTCCCAAGCTAGCTATGCAAGCCCTTGGGGATGAGAAACCATAACATGATAGAATATTTTATCAAGGTGAAGAATGATAAAGAGACGAGGGTGCTGAACCTTAATAAAGAAAACAAGGAGGATATGAAGTGTGAGTTGGCCTTGATAAATTGGGGACAGTTACTTAAAGGGATGACAGTGGATAGGCAATAGCAAACATTCAAGAAACACATGGGAGAACTGCAACAACTATTTATTTCTGTCTAGCACAACAGCAAAATGGGTAAGAGGGCCAATCCTTGGCTTACAAAGGAAATTAGAGACAGTATCCTATTCAAGGAAGAAGCACGCAGGCTCTCCAAGAAAAAGAATATGCCTGAGGATTGGGAGCAGTTTAGAATTCAGCAAAGAAGGACGAAGGGATTGATTAAGAAGGGGAAAATAGAGTATGAAAGTAAGCTTGCAGGGAACAGAAAGACTGACACTATAAGTGTCTATAGGTATATGAAGAGACTGATGAAGACAAATGTAGGTCCTCTACAGACAGAAATAGGGGAATGCATAATAGGGGACAAAGAAATAGCTGAGTAACTGAATAGATACTTTGGTTCTGTCGACACAAAACAGGACACAAATCAGATGCCAGAAATGTTGGAGAATGCAAGATTTAGTGAGGGGGAAAAATTGAGGGGGATCAATGGTAGTAGAGAAATGGTGTGGGGAAATTGATGGGATTGAAGGCGGATAAATCCCCAAGGCCTGATAATCTACATTCCAGAGTACTAAAGGAAGTGGCTCTAGAAATAGTAGATGCATTGGTGGTCAACTTCAAGGACTCTATAGACTTTGGAACAGTTCCTGAAAATTGAAAGGTGGCAAATTTCACTCCAATATTCAAAAAGGGAGGTAGAGAGAAAACAGAGAATTATAGACCAGTAAGACTAACATTGGTAGTGGGGAAAATTCTCAAATCCATTGTCAAGGATTTTATAGTGGAGCATTTAGAAAGCAGTGGCAGGATCAGACAGAGTCAGCATGGATTTATGAAGGGGAAATCGTGCTTGACAAATCTGTTGGAATTCTATGAAGATGTAATGAGTAGAGTTGACAAAGGCGGGCCAGCCCATGTGGTATATTTGAACTTTCAGAAAACGTTTGACAAAGTCCTGTATAAGAGATTATTGCACAAGATTAAAGCACATGAGATTGGGGGAAGTGTATTGAGATGGATAGAAGTCTGGTTGGCAGAGAGGAAACAAAGAGTAGGAATTAATGGATCCATTTCAAATTGGCAGGCAGTAACTAGTGAGGTGCCACAGGGATCGGTGCTGGGGTCCCAGCTATTCACATATTAATGATTTGGATAAGGGAACAAAATGTAACATCTCAAAGTTTGCAGATGATTCCACGTTGGATGGGGGGTGAACTGTGATGAGGATGCAGAGATCCTTCAGCATGATCTGGACGGGTTGGGTGAGTGGGAAAATCAATGGCAGATGCAGTATAATTTGGATAAGTGTGAGGTGATTCACTTTGGAAGCAAAATCAAGGTGGCAGATTACTACCTGAATGGCTGTAAATTGGGAGAGGGGAGTGTGCAGCGGGACCTGGGTGTCCTTGTGCACCAGTCGCTGAAGATAAACATGCAGGTGCAGCAGGCGGTAAAGAAGGTAAATGGTATGTTGGCCTTCATTGCGAGAGGTTTCAAGTACAGGAACAGGGATGTGTTGTTGCAGTTATACAGGGCCTTCCTGAGACCACACCTGGAATATTGTATGCAGTTTTGGTATCCTTTTCTGAGGAAGGATGCCCGTGCTCTCGAAGGACTGCAGCGGAGGGTCACCAGGCTGATTCCGGTGAGGGCGGGACTGACGTATGAGGAGAGATTGACTAGGTTGGGATTGTTTTCATTAGAGTTCAGGCAAATGAGGGAGGATCTCATAGAGACTTATAAAATTCTAACAGGACTAGAGAGGATAGATGCAGGGAGGATGTTCCTGATGGTCTGTCCAGAACCGGGGGTCACAGTATGGAGGATTCGGGACAGACGATTTAGGACGGAGATGAGGAGCCATTTCTTTACCCAAAGAGTGGTGATCCTGTGGAATTCATACCACAGGAAGTAGTTGATGCCAAAACATTGAATGTATTCATGAGGCGGCTAGATATAGCACTTGGGGCGAATGAGATCAAAGGTTATCGGGGGAAAGCAGGATTAGGCTATTGAGTTGAACGATCAGCTGTGATCATGGTGAATGGCGGAGCAGGCTCGAAGGGCCAAATGGCCTCCTCCTGCTCCTATCTTCTATATTTCTATGTATGTTTACTTCAATGTAATTTGGACAAGTTGGGTGAGTTGGCAAATATGTGGCAGATGCAGTATAAGTAGACAAGAAAATGTGAATAAATGTGAGGTTATCCATTTTGGGAGCAAAAACATGAAGGCAGATCATTATCCAAATGGCTATAAATTAAGAAAGGAGGATGTGCAATGAAACCTGGGAGTCCTATTACACCAGTCATTGAAAGTAAGCATGCAGTTGCAAGAAGGCAAATGGTATGTTGGCCTTTGTAGTGAGAGGATTTGATTATAGGAGCAAGGCTGTCTTACTGCCATTGTACAAGGCCTTGTTAAGTCTGTACCTGGAGAATTAGTAGCAGTTTGGTCCTCTTATCTAGGGGAGAATGTTCTAGCAATGGAAGTTGTTCAGTGAAGCTTTACCAGACAATTCCTGGAATGGCAGGACTGGCGTATGAAGAGAGACTAGATTGGTCAGGACTATATTAACTGGAGTAGGAGGAATGAGGGGGGAATTTCATAGGAACCTATAAAAGTCTAACAGCATTAGACGGAGTAAATGCAATAAGGATGTTCCCAATGATATGGGAGCCCAGAACCAGGGATCACAGTCTAAGGATACAGGGTAGGTCATTTAGGACTGAGCTGAGGAGAAATTTCTTCCATCAGAGAGCAATGAGCCTGTGGAATTCTCTGCTGCAGGAAATGGTGGTGGCCAAAGCATTGAATGTTTTCAAGTAAGAGTTTGACAGTTTTTAGGGCTAATGGATCAAAGTTATGGGGAGAAAGTTGGAATAGGGTATTGAGTAGGATGATCAGCCATTAATGATGGAGCAAGCTCAGAAGACCGAAAGGCCTACTCCTGCTCCTATTTCTTGTGTTACCATGTTTCTTCCCTCCACCCATATGGATTCTATGTCTGCTAATCCAAGTTCTTCTCTGTCCTAACAATGCTACCTCCCTACCTATTCCTTCCTGCCTGTCCTTTCAAAAAGTCATTTTAGTTTCCAGCTTTGATCTCCTTGTATCCATGTCTCTATAATGGCTGTAATATCATACCTATTAATCTGTTTGTGTCATAAATTCATTGATTTTGTTTTGAATACTACACACATTCAAATAAAGAGCTACTATATTCCCCTTTTTACCTTTACCCCACTTTGAAGCTATTTAATACTGTTATTCTATGTCCCTTCCTGTCCCACTGTGGGCATCATTATCCAAATAACTGCGCTGCAATGATGTTACATCCTTTTGCTTTGTAAACCTGTATTTCCTTGTCTCCCTAGCACACTTCACCCTCTAATTAGTTTGAAGACACCTCCACAGCCTGAGATATTCAAATTGCCAAAACACTGATCCCAGCACAGTTTACATGAATTCCAACCCATCAGAACATTTCCCTTTTCCCCCAGTACTGGTGCCAGTGTCTCACAAATTGAAACCCATTCCATCCTTACCAATCTTTGAGCCACAAATTTAACTCCTTGACTTTCTTTACCTATTGCCAGCTTGCCCATGGTTTAGGTAGTAATCCAGAGATTATTACCTTGGAAGTTCTGCTTCTTAATTTAGCTCCAAACTGTTCAATTTTTTTTTTGGCAGAAGCACTTACCACTCAGACAACAAAATATTTATCTCCCCCGAACAACATCACTAAAATTAGTACCTTCACTCTTTCATGTTGGTGTGGAAGCACATATAGTATTTGTAATGATAGCATATGGAAGTCATTTAGTGATCATAACTCAGTTGAAACACATTGGGGATTTCAAAGTCAGACAACAATATACTTTTTTTTTACAGCGATTGTGTTGTGCATGAGGGATAGTCTCAGCAATGTAAAGCAGAATCATCTAGGTTATAAAGCAATCATCCTGAAGTAGCAGTCAAATTGTCCTTATTTTCGAAGACAGGCACATATGTGGTAAGGGTGGGGAGCAAGTGTAGCTCCATAAACACCAGCAAGATTGAAGGGGTAGCCTCCTGCTGCAGCAGTAAACTGAAACCGTTGCATAAGGAACGTGAAGAATAAGAAGGTCTCCATCTGAGCCAGGTTTACTCCAATGCACATACGGTGACCTGGTGAAGATAATGAGTATTCAGTCAGGTGATCTGGACCCTTGGAGAATCCATAAGTGTTAACAGTCTCACTCTCTTACACATCTTAACATATCTATCACTCTCATCTTGTATCCTATCCATAGAATCCCTAGTGTGGAAACAGGCCATTGAGCCCAACAAGTCCACACACAACTCTCCAAAGAATACCTCACCCAGACTCAACCCTGTACCCTATCCCTGTAACCCTGCATTTTCCCTGTGGTTAATCTACTAACCTAGGCATCCCTGGACACTATGGGCAATTTAGCACAGCCAATCTACCTAACTTTCACATCTTTGGTAACAAAGTGTGGAGCTAGAGGAACACAGCAGGCCAGGCAGCATCAGAGGAGCAGGAAAGTTGATGTTTCGGGTCAGGCCCTTTCTTCAGGGCAGTTAAGAGTCAACCACATGCTGTGGGTCTGGAGTCACATATAGGCCAGACCTGGTAAGGATATGCAATTTCCTCCCCTAAAGGACATTAGTGAACCAGATGGGTTTTTCCAACAATCAGCAATGGATTCGTGGTCATCATTAGATTCTTAATTCCAAATATTTATTGAATTCAAATTCCACCATCTGCCATAGCGGGATTCGAACACAAGCTCCCAGACCATCAGCTGGGTCTCTAGATCAACCGTCCAGCGATAATACCACTAGGCCATTGACTCCCCCATCTATACTATTCACCTCAAACAATCCTTGTGACTGCAAGTAACTCACTCATAACTCTCTTTCCTACAGAAATTTCTCCCAAATTTCCTATTTGATTTATTTGCAACTATTTTATATTTATGGCATCCAGTTTTGGTTTGTTCTACAATCGACCATATTGTCTTGACTCTCATCAGCTCTTCTCTTCTATAAATGGTGCCCAGCCTATAAAAACTTCCTTTCAGTTCTGGTATCCTCCTTGTAAATCATCTTTGCCCCCTTTTTTCAGTCCCAATATCCTTTATATAGTATCACTGAATCATTATAGCAAGAAGGCATTTGGTCCATCATGTCTTCTCTAGCCCTGTAAATAAACAATTCACTTAGTGCCATTATCACATCTTCTCCTCATAACCCAGCACATTTTTACCTGAAAAAGAACAATCTAATTATCTTTCAAATGCTTTGATCCAACCTACCAGCACCACACTGAAGTGCACTCCAGACCTGAAGTACTCAATGCATGAAACAGTTTTCTCCCATGTCACTTGGTTCTTTGACACTATTAATGAAGGGTTTGAGAATATGAAGGCACAGATTTGACAGAAATGGTAAAAGAATCAAATGTGGGTGGCTCTCACTTGCCCTCTGAAATGGCCGAGCAAGCCATTCAGTTGTATCAATCACTACAAAGTCTCAAAGAATGAAACTGGATGGATCACCTGACATCGACCTAGACACCAGAACAGACAATGGCAGAAACAGCCCTGTCAACCTTGCAACATCCTCCTTGCTAACGTAGAACTTAGAACATAGAACATAGAATATAGAATATAGAACATAGAATATAGAACATAGAACAGTACATCGCAGGAAGGGGCCCTTCGGCCCACTATGCTGTGTGGAACATGACACCAAATTAAACTAATCCCTTCTGCCTGCCCTTGGTCCGTATCCCTCCATTCCTTGCATATTCGTATGCTTATCTAAAAGTCCCTTAAATGCCCCTATTGTATCTGCCTCCATCACCACACCTGGATGCGCATTCCATATTCCTACCACTCTCTGTGTAAAAAACTTGCCTCTCGCATCTCCTTTGAACTTTCCCCCCTCACCTTACATGCATGCCCCCTAGTATTAAACATTTCAACTCTAAGAAAATGATTCTGACTGTCAACCTTATCTATGCATCTCATAATTTTATAGACTTCTATCAAGTCTCCCCTTAGCCTCCACTGCTCTGGATAAAACAACTTGAGTTTTTTTTTCTGGTCTCTCCTTATAGTTCATACCCTCTAATCCAGGCAGCTTCCTGGTAAACCTCTTCTGTGCCCTCTCCAAACCCTCCACATCCTTCTTGTAATGTGGTGACCAGAACAGAATGCAATACTCTTAAGTACAGCCTAACCAAAGTCTTATAAAGCTGCAACATGACATCCTGACTCTTGTACTCCATTCCCCAACCAATAAAGGCAAGCATGCCATAGGCCTTCTTTACCACCCTATCTACTTGCATGGCCCCTTTCAGGGAAGTATGGACTGGAACCTCAAGATCCCTCTGTACATCAATGCAGTTCAGGGTCCTGCCATTAACTGTATTAACTTGATGGGCTGAATGGCTTCTCTCTGCACAGTGGGGATTTTATGATTCTATAATTCTACTCATCCAATCACACTGTTTGACTCTCTTCAATGTGTATCAATCCCCAAACCAATAGCATTGTCCCATTCCCTTCAACATCTATCAATCCCTAAACTAATCTGACTGCCTCATTTTCTTCATCATGTCTCAAACCCACTGTCCCATTCTTTAATGTAAAACACTGTCAAACCCATCCCACTGTCCCACTCTCTTCCACAAGTATCAGTCCCCAATACAATCCTGCTGTCCTACTCTCTCCAACATATATCAATGTATTGTCCCAACCCATTGTCCACTCTTTTCCATCAATCCCAAAACCAATTTGACTGCCCCACTCTCTTCATCATATATCAAACACACTTCCCCAATGCCTTCAATCTGTATCAATCTCCTAAATCAATTCCATTACCCCACCCTTTCCAGCATGCATCAATCCCTCTGCCCCAGACTCTTCAATCTGTATCAAACACCAAAGCAATCCTGCTCTCTCACTCTCTTCAGCATGTATCACTCTGGCTCTGTTCAATTTGTATCAATTCCCAAACCAATCATATTGTCCCATCTCTTCCACATGTATCAATCCCTAAAACTATCTTCAATGTATACTTTTCCAACTGCTCCAGTCTCTTCAACACGTATCAAAAAACATTAAATTAGATAAGTTCTCAGGGCTTGATGGGATCTATCTCAAGATACTGAAGGAGGCAAAGTAGGAGATTGCTGTGTCCTTGACAGAGATCTTTGTATCCTCTTTCACTATAGGCAAGGTCCCAGAGAGTGGAGAATAGCCAATGTTGCTCCTTTGTTTGAAAAGGGCAGCAGGAATAATCCAGGGAATTATAGGCCAGTGACCCTTACATCAGTGGTCGGAAAATTATTGGAGAAGATCCTTAGGGACATGATTTACTTGCATTTGGAAAAGAATAGACTTATTAGGAACAGTCAGCATAGCCTTGTGCAGGGGAGGTCTTGTCTCACAAATTTGATTGTATTTTTTGAGAAAGTAACAAAGATGGTTGACGAGAAGATGTTATCTGCATGGAAATTACTAAAGAGTTCAATAATGTCCCCCATGAAAGGGTTAGTCTAAGCCTAAGCCTAACCCTTACCCTATCTCAGGTACAGAAGATTAAGTCGCATGGATCCTTGATGTGTTGGTAAGTTGGATATAAAATTGGTTTAATCATAGAAGGCTGAGGGTGGTTGTGGAGGGATATCCGTGATCAGTGGTGTTTTGCAAAGATAAGTGCTGGAACCTCTGTTGTTTGTAATATATATATATATAATTGATTTGGATGGAAATGTAGGTGGTTTGATTGGAAACTTGCAGAAGACACAAAAATTAGTGGAGTTGTGGATAGTGAGGTAAGTTACCAGGGTAAAGAGCAGAAAAATGGCAGATGAAGTTTAATCCAGAAAAGTGTGAGGTGATGCATTTTGGGAGGTCAAATGCAAAAGAGAAGTATACAGTAAATGGCAGGTCCCTTAGGAGCACTGATATACAGAGAGATCTTGGGGACCAAGTCCATAGCTCTCTTCAAGTATCAATAGATGTGGATAAGGTGGTAAAGACAGCATACGGCGCGCTTGCCTTCATTAATCGGGACATTGAGTGTAAAAGTTGGCAAGTAATGTTGCAACTTTATAAGATTTTAGTTAGGCCACATTTGGAGTATTGAGTGCAGTTCTGGTTGCCACAATGTAGGAAGGCTGTTGAGGCTTTGGAAAGGGTGCAAATCATGGTGCACTGGAAGCAATGACTTAGTGGTATAATCACAGTTAATCGAGAGACCGAGGTAATGTTCTGGGACTCAAGTTCGAATCCCGCCACAGCAGATGGTGGATTGTGAATTCAATTAAAAATCTGGAATTAAAAGTCAACTGATGACCACAAATGTTGATTGCCAGGAAAAACCTATCTAGTTCACTAATGCCCTTTCAGGAAGGAAATTGTCATCCTTATGTGGTCTGGTCTATATGACTCCAGACCCACAGAAATGTTCTGAGGAAGGGTCACCAGACCCGAAACATTAACTCTGATTTTTTTCTTCACAGATGCTGCCAGGCCTGCTGAGCTCTTCTTGCAAATTTGTTTCTGTTCCCACAGAAACATGGTTGGCTCTTGACTGCCCTTTCAGCAATTTGGCATGGGCATTAATATAGCATTGCCCTCTTCCCATGAATGAATTAAAAAATGATGTTTACCAGGATGTTGCCTGAATTGGAATGTATTAGCTATAAGGAGTGACTGTTTAAATTAAATAGGTATAGAGTACAAGACTATGAACCTGGTGCGGGAAAGGCTCTCTCTACCTGTTCTACCACCTTCAATGATCTGTTCACATAGACATCTAGGTCCCTCTGATCCACAGCCCCTTTAGAATTGTATCCCTATTTAATATTGTCTTTCACTGTTCTTCCAAACAAGTGTATCTCTTCTCTGCACTGAACCTCATTTTCTACCTATATGACCACTCCACTAATTTGTCAAAGGTGCTTTCATAGTTCTACATTGTCTTCCTCAGAGTTTACAATTCTTTCAATTTTAGTATCATCTGCAAACTTTGAAATTCTCCCCTACACACCAAGATCCTGATCATATACATATAAGGACTGAATACAGAGAGAATGTTTCCCTTGGCATGGAGGTCCAGAACAGTGGGTCAGGGCCTCAGTATATACAGTGGGTTATTTCAGACAGAGATGAAGAGATATTTCTTCACTCAAGGTGGTGAATCTGTGGAATTCTCTACCACAGAAGCTTGTAGAGGCTAATTTCTGACTACCCCCTCATTCTCTCAGATCCTCTTTTATCCTCATCCTCACTCCCTCCTCATTCTCCCACACTTTTTTGTCTCTTCTCTTCTCTCTTCTCTGACCTCGGAACACCCAGCCTTGGAACTCCCGGCTTTGGAACACCCAGCCTTAGAACTCACAGTCTCAGCCCAGACCCAAAGAGGTAGCCTCTCGGCCCAGCATGATGGTCTCTTGGGCCAGCAATGCAATCTGCCAGCCCAGCGTGGAAACCACTCAGCCTGGTGTGGCAATCTCCCAGTGGCCTAGCGTGGGAGTCTTCGAGTGGTATGTGACAGTCTCTTGGCCTGGTATGGTCTTGGTGTGAATTTTCAGTCTCGAGGTGATACCAGAGCAATCTCCTGGCCTCGTGAGCCCTGAGGTGAAGCCAGGTGCAGTCTGGATTAAGGCCCAGTGTGGACTGGAGGCTAGGTATCAACATGGACTGGGTCAGTAGTTTCTTTGTACCTTTTTTTCTCCATTTTATAATTTATTCCTAAATTTGCAATGCTGGACTTTGCTTACTTCTCTATTTTTCCAAGAACTGTAACTGAAAAAGCTGTACCTAGAGACCTTTGTACCTAAGAAGATGCCATAAGCAGCAACTTGCAGACTTTTCACTGTAGTCATTTGACTACATATGACAATTGCACCAATTCATTCATTCAAGTCACTGAATATATTCAAGAAAAAGATATATCAATTTCTAAACAAAAGGCATCAAGGGGCATGGGGAGAAAGTGGCATTGAGATACAGATCAGCCATGATCTAATGAATGATAGTGCAGGCTCGATGAGCCAAATAGCCTGCTCCTGCTCCTACTTTATATATTTCAATGCTAAAAGCAAACTACTGCTGATGCTGGAAATCTGAAATAAAAAGAGAAATTGTTGGAAATACCCAGTAGTTTTGGCATGCCCTATGGACACAGCAAACATTCTGAACCAAATGTGACTTCTACAAAACTAAAGGAGATTATAAATGTGACACCCAGTTCACTAATAATTGGTTTTCAGTTGTTAGCTCTCTCCACCACAACACATAGAAACCACAGATACAAGATCTTACTTTCTGAACTCACCTGTTGCTCTTGATAACTTTCTCTTTCTCTACATATCACAGAATCACAGGATTGGTGTTGTGCAGAAGGAGGCCATTTGGTTCATTTTGTCTGCACTGGCTCTTCAAACGAGCATGATTACCGAGTGCCAGTCTCCTACTTTCTCCTCATACCCGTGCATATTGCATCTATCCAGATAATATTCAATGCCATCTCTCACTTACTATTGTTTGGTTTCTCAACCCTTTGTTTTTCTTAGACACCACCTATCCTTTCCAGACATGTCCATACACCCAACTTACGTAAATATCATTGTCTCTTTCTTCCTTTGTCCATTACATTTTTGCATTGATTTGTTTCTCTATCTCTCCCAGCTCCCTTGACTTTCCTGCTTCTCATTCCACTGAAGTTAACATTGGTTTCAATCTTTTACCCTGTCCCACCCTATTTCCCTTTTCTGCTTTTTTCATTCCCCTCAGTAACTCCCATACCTGTCGAGAATGGAAGATGTGCATCTACTTGGTGGAACTGTCCATTTTCATCCAGATACCGGTTAGGGTTAAAACTGTTAGGTGATTTCCAACGTTTTCCATCGAACAACACACCAGTGAGAGAGGGGATGACTGTTGTGCCCTGATTAAGATAAGTAACATTCCAGAATTATCTATAAATCAGGAGATGGAAGTAAAGGCAAAACTAAAAAAATCAGTCACCAGAGACATTTGGAGTTGGGAGGGTGCTGACAAGTGCTTGGCACCTGTTGGACTTTATCCTACGGTCTTAGAAGAAGGGTGTAGTGAGATAGTTGATGCATTACTTTTAATTTTCCAAAACTCCCTTGACTCAGGGACAGTCCCATTTGATTGGAACATAAAGAGTGAAACATCTTTATTCAAAACGTAAAGAAAGCTGGAAAAGAAAAAAAAGTTAGGCAGGTTAATCTAACAGCTGTCATGGGGAAAACATTAAAGATGTTATAACAATAAACTTAGATATGTTCAAGGTAATCAGCCAGAGTCATCATGGTTTTGTGAAAGGAAAATCAGGTTTGACCAATCTGGTGGAGCTTGTTGACGAGGTAGCATATTGTACAGATAAAAGCTAACAAATGGAGGTAGCACATTTAGATTTCGAGAAGGTATTTCATAAGGTACACATCAAATGGTACTGTGGAAAATAAAAGCTCATGGAACAAACGGTGCTGGCACCTCAATTGTTCACAATTTATATAAAGGGCAGAAAGTGTGGTTGTTAAATTTGCTGATGATGCAAAGCCAGGTAGGAAATTCAGTTGTGAAAAGGATACAAGGAGTTTACAAATGTAATAAATTGTGATTGGCAAAGATGTGACAAATTGATCATAAAGTGTGCAATTATCCAGTTTGGTAGGAACAATAAAAGCAAGAACATTATTTAAATAGTGAGAGATTGCAGAGCTCTGATATGCAAAGAGATCTGGGTGTCTTCGTGAATAAATCACAAATGTTAGTATGCAAGTGCTGCATGTAATTGGGAAAGCTAATAGAATGTCACCGATAAGCCATGATGTGGAGTTGCTGGTGTTCACCTGATGAAGGAGCAGCTCTTCAAAAGCTTGTGATTTCAAATAAACCTGTTGGGCTATATCCTGGTGTCGTGTGACTTCTGAGAATGTTATTGCTTATTGCGAGGGGAATTGAATTTTTTTTTCTTTATTCACCCACGGGATGAGGGTGTCGCTGGTGAGGCAGCATTTATTGCCCAGAGGGCAGTTAAGAGTCAACTACATTGCTGTGGGTCTGGAGTCATATGTAGGCCAGACCAGGTAAGGATGGCAACTTCCTTCCCTAAAGGACACGAATGAACCAGATGGGTTTTTCCTGACCGTCGGCAATGGATTCACGGTCATCATTAGAGTCTGAATTCCTGATATTTGTTGAATCTAAATTCCACCATCTGCCATGGCAGGATTCAAACCCGGGTCCCCGGAACATTATCTGGGTCTCTGGATTAACAGTCCAGTGATAATACCACTATGCCATTGCCTCCCCGTGAATTGAATACAAAATTAGACAGGTTATACTTCAGTTTTACAGGGCACTACTGTTTATAGACTATTGTATTATTTTTTAAGGGAGAATGTAAATGTATTGGACACAATTCAGATAAGGTTTACTAGCCTAATGCTTGTAAAGGGTAAGTTGCGTTGGGAGGAAAGGTTGAACAGATTGTGCTTATGTTCACTAGAGTCTGGAAGATTTGGAGGTGACTGGATTGCAACATTTAAGATTCTGAGAGGTCTTGACAGGTTCGAGAGAATGTTTTCACTTAAGGGAAAATCTAGAACTAGGGGACATTATTTAAACATCAATTCACCCACTTAAAATACAGATTAGGCAAAATGTTTTTTTTTTCAAAGGGGCCATGAGTCTTTAGAACATAGAACATAGAAAATAGAACATTACAGCGCAGTACAGGCCCTTCGGCCCTCGATGTTGCGCCGACCTGTGAAATCAATCTGAAGCCCATCTAACCTAAACTATTCCATTATCATCCATATGTTTATCCAATGACCATTTAAATGCCCTTAAAGTGGGCGAGTCTACTATTTTTGCAGGCAGGGCATTCCCCGCCCTTACTACTCTCTGAGTAAAGAACCTACCTCTGACATCTGTCCTATATCTATCACCCCTCAATTTAAAGCTATGTCCCCTCGTGCTAGCCATCACCATCCGAGGAAAAAGGCTCCCACTGTCCACCCTATCTAATCCTCTGATCATCTTGTATGTCTCTATCAAGTCACCTCTTAACCTTCTTCTCTCTAACGAAAACAGCCTCAAAACCCTCAGCCTTTCCTCATAAGACCTTCCGTCCATACCAGGCAACATCCTGGTAAATCTCCTCTGCACCCTTTCCAATGCTTCCACATCTTTCCTATAATGCGGTGACCAGAACTGTACGCAATACTCCAAGTGCGGCCGCACCAGAGTTTTGTACAGCTGCAACATGACCTCATGGCTCCAAAACTCAATCCCTCTACCAATAAAACCTAACATACTGTACGCCTTCTTAACAACGCTATCAACCTGGGTGGCAACTTTCAGTGATCTATGCACATGGACACCGAGGTCTTTCTGCTCATCCACACTACCAAGAATCTTACCATTAGCCCAGTACTCTGTATTCCTGTTACTCCTTCCAAAGTGAATCACCTCACACTTTTCCGCATTAAACTCCATTTGCCACCTCTCAGCCCAGCTCTGCAGCTTATCTATGTCCCTTTGTAACCTGCAACATCCTTCCGCACTATCCACAACTCCACCGACTTTCGTCTCATCCGCAAATTTACTAACCCATCCTTTTACGCCCTCATCCAGGTCATTTATGAAAATGACAAACAGCAGTGGCCCCAAAACAGATCCTTGAGGTACACCACTAGTAACTGAACTCCAGGATGAACATTTCCCATCAACCACCACCCTCTGTCTTCTTACAGCTAGCCAATTTCTGATCCAAACCGCTAAATCACCCTCAATCCCATGCCTCCGTATTTTCTGCAATAGCCTACCATGGGGAACCTTATCAAACGCTTTACTGAAATCCAAATATACCACATCAACCGTTGTACCCTCATCCACCTGTTTGGTCACCTTCTCGAAGAACTCAATAAGGTTTGTGAGGCACGACCTACCCTTCACAAAACCGTGTTGACTATCCCTAATCAAATTATTCCTTTCTAGATGATTATAAATCCTATCTCTTATAATCCTTTCCAACACTTTACCCACAACCGAAGTAAGGCTCACTGGTCTATAATTACCAGGGTTGTCTCTACTCCCCTTCTTGAACAAGGGGACAACATTTGCTAGTCTCCAGTCTTCTGGCACTATTCCTGAAGACAATGACGACATAAAGATCAAAGCCAAAGGCTCTGCAATCTCCTCTCTAGCTTCCCAGAGAATCCTAGGATAAATCCCATCTGGCCCAGGGGACTTATCTATTTTCACACCTTCCAGAATTGCTAACACCTCCTCCTTATGAACCTCAATCCCGTCTAGTCTAATAGACTGTATCTCAGTATTCTCCTCGACTACATTGTCTTTTTCCTGTGTGAATACTGACGAAAAATATTCATTTAGCACCTCTCCTATCTCTTCGGACTCCACGCACAACTTCCCACTACTGTCCTTGACCGGTCCCAATCTTACTCTCGTCATTCTTTTATTCCTGACATACCTATAGAAAGCTTTGGAATTCTCTTCCTGAAAAAAACCTTGAAAAAGGTCCTTAGTAAATGAATTTTTTAAGGTAGAAATAGATTGATTCTTGTTAAGTAAGGGGTGACAGGTTTCCAGGGGTAAGAGGGAATGTGAATTTGTGGTTGCAATTGGATCAGGCATGAATTTGTTGAATGACAGAGTAGACTTGATGGGCTGAGTGGCCGACTCCTGCTCTTGATTCTTTGCTCCTGTTTGTATGTAACAACAAACATTTTCCAGCAAATTTCAACTCAGTGATACATGGAGCATGTTGTAGTTCTGAGCGAATGGATGTTAGAATCTGCTCTGCACTGAATGTCCATGTAGTGAGACAACCTTTGCCTTACTGAAGATTCCAACTTTTCTTTAAAAATAGGGAGGGTTTAGCTCCCAATCATTTGAAGCATTCCCTTAACTTGTAAAGTCTACTTTACCTGTGCAGGAATTCAAAATAGGATGATGAAACAAGACAGATAATGTCACATACACATAGCTTTGACATGTGGGATTAATTTTTAGAAGATTTGGGTATAGGTTTCTTCCTCTTTCAATTGTTTGTCTCATGAATTATCACAGAATCAGAATCTTACAGCACTGGAAAGAACATTCATATCATCATGTGTGTACCAGCACATTGAAATAACTTTTCAGTTCATCCCATTCCTTCAACCTGCTTTAATCCTTTACTTTAATCCTTAAAACTTTAATCCTTAAACCTCAGAACATTTTCTTCTCAATTATTTATTGAATTAATTTTGCAACTCACTCTTGAATCTGTTTCCAACAATATTTTGGGTAATGAAATCCAAAATATTACAATTCACTGCCTGAAAACTTCCTTACACATGCCCTTCATTCTTTTACCAGTTGTTTTAAGGCTTTGTTACCTGGCTATCCTTGAAACTGGAAAACAATCTCTATTTTACTTATCAGGACCCTCCATGATTTTCAGCATTTCTATTAAACTTCCTCTTAACTTTCCAGGATCCAAGGAGAACATGTCCGGCTTTTCCAGTCTCTCTCCATCACCCTGTAGTTTCTAATAAATCTGCACCACACTGTCTCCCAATCCTACATTCAATAGGATTAATGTAACAATTTGTTTCACAACAGACCTAAAGTTTTTGTTCAAATTTACTTGATCAAAGCGAGAAAAAACATTGCAAGCTATTTTTTAAAGTGAGTTCAAGATTAGGTAGATTCAATTTCTAAACTCTCAGAGGTTAGAAGGCAGCACTAAGACACTGAAGCTTCTTTCTCAAAACTAGAATGATATCTGTAATCTGTATTTCATTGCTGATTTATAGAGTTCAGATCATCCCATCCATCCAAAGACACTCCATTGAACCAATTCTTCAGCACATTTGTTTAGCAATGATTGGGTCTTCACCTTTGGGATCCTGTATCCTCTCAGCTGCAAATCCTTGGTTGTCTGCCTTGGAATGTTCAAAGGGATGACATTGCCAACTCTCAAGCATTCGTGGATCACAGCGTTTGTGTATGGCAGTTTTACTCGATCCACCCAGGATGGCTCCTTGTGCTGTCCAATCATAATGTCAATCTCATGATGAACTTTCTCTGCAATATACAGAGCAGGAAGAAATTCAGAAATCAGAAGTAGAAACAACATTCAGTTTTAATGTCAAATATTGGCATTGTGGCTAAAAAGTTTATTTCAAAATGCTTAGAAGTTGTAACAAGAAAACAGGATATTTAGCTCTATCATTGGATGTCAGCATTTAACCTTCACACATGAAAAACATTCCTAGCTGTCCAGTTCTGTACCAGTTCTATTCAACCTTTTGATGTTTGTCCACCTAATCTGCTTTAATCTTGATTTAAAGTTTCTGTATCAATAAAACATGTTAAAAATGACTTCCACTGTCTTACAACTTCTTTGTTAAAGGAATTTCTCTTGCTCTTTGCTCTGTAGCATTCTACAGCACAATACACAGATGCCATTCAATGTACTGAGTTTGTGTGAACTCTTTCAAAGGATAATCCAGGTTGCTGACAGTGTGAAAGATGCTGTTAGGTTACAGGAGGATATAAATGGATGGGTCAGATGCACAGATCAGTAGCAGATAGAATTTAGCCCTGCTTAGTGTCAGGTGATGCACACTGGAAGAAGTAACAAGACAAGGGAGTATTCAATGAACAGTAGGATACTAGGAAGCTCAGAGCACAGAAGGAACTTGGAATGCTTACCCACGGATCCCTACGATAGGACACATACAGGACACTTGCCTTTACCAATCGTGGTATAGATTGCAGGAAGGTTATGTAGGAGCTAGGCAGGACTTTGATTAAGCCATAGCTGGAGTACTGCGAGCAGTTATGGCCACTGCACTATAAGAAGGCTGTAATTGCACTGGAGGAGATGCAGAGAGATTTTCTTTAAAAATCTTTCATGGGATAAGGCATTTATTGCCCCAGACAGCATGTTAGCAGATAAGAGTCAATTACATTGCTGAACTACACTCTGAAGTCACAAGTAGTCAAGGCCAGGTAAGGATGGCAGTTTCCTTCCCTGAAGGACATTAGCAGACAATAATTTCTGATAATCAACAATGACTTCATGGTCATCATTGTCATAAGGAGGCATGGGATTCAGAGAAATTTGGCTGTCTGGATATAAAAGTGACTGTCCAATAGAAGGCAGAGGGTGATAGTATTCAGCCTGGAGCTTGGTGACCAGTGGTGTTCCACAGGGATCTGTTCTGGGACCTCTGCTCTTTGTGATCTTTATAAATGACTTGGATGAGGAAATGGAAGGGTGGGTTAGTACGTTTGCCGATGACACGGAGGTTGGTGGAGTTGTGGACAGCGTGGAGGGCTGTTGTAGGTTGCAACGGGACATTGACAGGATGCAGAGCTGGGCAAAGAAGTGGCAGGTGGAATTCAACATGGAAAAGTGTGAAGTGATTCATTTTGGAAGGTCGAATTTGAATGCAGAATACAGGGTTAATGGCAGGATTCTCAGCAATGTGGAGGAACAGAGGGATCTTGGGGTCCACGTCCATAGATCCCTCAAAGTTGTGACCCAAGTTGATAGGGTTGTAAAGAAGGCATATGGTGGGTTGGCTTTCATCGGCAAGGGAATTGAGTTTAAGAGCCGTGAGGTTATGCTGCAACTCTATAAACGTCTGGTTAGACCACACTTGGAATATTGTGTTCAGTTCTGGTTGCCTCATTAAAGGAAGGATGTGAAAACTTTAGAGAGGATGCAGAGGAGATTTACCAGGACGCTGCCTGGACTGGAGGGCAGGTCTTAGGAGGAAAGGTTGATGGAGCTAGGGCTTTTTTTCATTGGAGCGAAGAAGGATGAGAGGTGACTTGATAGAGGTGTACAAGATGATGAGAGACATAGATAGTGTGGATAGTCAGAGACTTTTTCCCAGGGCGGAAATGACTATTATGAGGGGGCATAATTTTAAGGTGATTGGAGGAAGGCATAGGGGAGATGTCTGAGGTAGGTTCTTCAAACAGAGAGTGGTGGGTGTGTGGAATGCGCTGCCAGCAGTGGTAGTGGAGTCAGATACTTTAGAGACTTCTAAGCGACTCTTGGATAGGCACATGGAGGATAGTAAAATGTAGGGTATGCAGGGTAGTTTGATCTTAGTAGGATAATAGGTCGGCACAACATCATGGGCTGAAGGCCCTGTACTGTTCTATATTCTATGTTCTATGAGACTCTTAATTCCAGATTTTTATTGAATTCAAATTCCACCATCTGTTGTAGTGGGATTCAAACCCATGTCACCAGAACATTACCTTGGTCTCTGGATTAATAGTCTTACAATAATGCTGCTGGACCATCATCTCCCCATTAAATTCCACGATGTTGCCTGGAATGGAGCACTTTACCAATGAAAAGAGGCTAAATAAGCTCAGGTTGTTTTTTTTTTGGAGCCGAGAAGGCTGGGTGGTGAGGGTGGGTGGGGGGGTGGGGTGTGGATGCGGGGTTAACTTAGTGAGATGTATAAGATTATGAGGGGCATGGACACGGTGAATAGAAAGCAACTGTTTCCCTCAGTCGAAGGTCAATAATAAGGGGCCATAATTTTAAGGTGAAAGGCAGGAAGTTTAGAGGGGATTTGAGGAAAACCTTTTTCACCCAGAAGATGGTGGGCATCCAGAAAGCACTGCACTGTAGTTAAGCCAGGTAACATCACAACCTCACAATCTTTAAAACCTTTTAAAAGCATTTGAAATGTCACAACATTTGACTCAGTCTATATTTCCTGATGCCTCAGGAAAACTGTCAATATAATCAAAGACCCCTCCCAGCCTGGTATACTCTCTTCCATCAGGCAGAAGATACAAAAGTTTGTAAACACATTCCAACAGATTCAAGAACAGATTTTTCCTAGCTGTTATAAAACTTTTGAACAAACCTCTCATGTATTAAAGTTGATCTTTCTCTGCACCTACTCTTTTCTGCTCTATTACCGTGATGTACTTACATATGATGTGTTTGCTGGATAGCGCGCAAAAAAATACTTTTCACTGCATCTTGCACATGTGACAACAATTAAATCAAATCAAGTCAACATCCAAGGCTATTGGCCTTGTGCTGGAAAGTAGGACTAGTGTAGATTTAGTCACCAGTACAGACTTGATGGACTGAAAGGCCTTTTCTGTGCTGTATGATTCAATGGATCTAATTGAATCTGCCCCCATGCTCCTACTCAGAATAGCACTGCAACTAAAAAATTAGTTACAAAAACAGAAATTGCTGGAAAAGCTCAGCAGAACTGATAGCATTCATGGAGAGAAATCAGAGTTAAATTTCAGTTCCGGTGATCCTTTGTCAGAACTGATTTCTGATTTTGTTGAGCTTTTCCAGCAATTTCTGTTTTTGTTTCTGATTTACAACATCCACAGTGCTTTAATTTTTTTGTTGAGAAATTAGTTAAGTTGTTTTTTGAAAGCTACCTATTGAATCAATCAGTACATTCCAAATCCTAATCATTCACTTTCATACATTTAATCCAGTCACTGTACTCTGTTCTTTCCGATACTCCAAAATTCCTAATGCAAGGTCTGACAAGTAGTAACTCATTTAAGTCTGATTCATTATCAAATCAAATGGATGTCTGAAAGTGGAAGAGAAGTGTATTCAAAAGAAAATTAAAATTTCTTCTGCTCTTCACCCTATAATAAATCTTTCCTTTTGTTCTAACCCCTGCCCCCCAACCTTCACTTGCTCAAATGGTCTTCTATTTTGAGCAGTTGTGGTGTAGGATTCTTGGTCATGAATGTTAACTCTGTTTCTCTCTCTCCACAGGAGCTCTTGATTGGCTGAGTATTTCCAGCACTTTCTATTTTAACGCATGAAATGTGAGGACTGAATGCACATTGGGGAGGGAATGGCCCAGTGGAATTGTCACTGGATTGTTAATCTGGAAACCCAAATAATCTCCTGGGGAAACTGTGATAACAAGGTGTGGAGCTGGATGAACACAGAAGGCCAAGCAGCATCGGAGGAGCAGGAAGGCTGACGTTTCGGGCCTAGACACTTCTTCAGAAATGGGGGAGGGGAAGGGGATTCTGAAATAAATAGGGAGAGAGGGGGAGGCGGATAGAAGATGGATAGAGGAGAAGATAGGTGGAGAGAAGACAGACAGGTCAAAGAGGTGGGGATGGAGCCAGTAAAGGTGAGTGTGGGTGGGGAGTTAGGGAGAAGATAGGTCAGTCCAGGGAGGACGGACAAGTCAAGGGGGCGGGATGAGGTTAGTAGGTAGGAGATGGGGGTGGGGCTTGAGGTGGGAGGAGGGAATAGGTGGGAGGAAGGACAGGTTAGGGAGGCAGGGACAAGCTGGGCTGGTTTTGGGATGTGGTAGGGGGAGGGGAGATTTTGAAGCTTGTGAAGTCCACATTGATACCATTGGGCTGCAGGGTTCCCAAGCGGAATATGAATTGCTGTTCCTGCAACCTTCAGGTGGCATCGTTGTGGCACTGCAGGAGGCCCAGGATGGACATGTCGTCTGAGGAATGGGAGGGGGAGTTGAAATGGTTCACGACTGGGAGGTGCAGTTGTTTAGTGCGAACCAAGCATAGGTGTTCTGCAAAGCAGTCCCCAAGCCTCCGCTTGGTTTCCCCGATATAGAGGAGGCCACAACGGGAACAGCGGATGCAGTATACCACATTAGCAGATGTGCAGGTGAACATCTACTTGATGCGGAAAGTCTTCTTGGGGCCTGGATGGGGGTGAGGATGGAGGTGTAGGGGCAGGTGTAGCACTTCCTACGGTTTCAGGGAAAAGTGCCGGGTGTGGTGGGGCTGGAGGGGAACCCCCTTGATCATGACCCCACCCCCGACCACCAAACCATCATCTCCCAAACCATCCACAACCTCATCACCTCAGGTGGCCACCCACCCACAGCCTCCAACCTCATCGTTCCCCAACCCCGCACCGCCCACTTCTATCTCCTTCCCAAAATCCACAAACCTGACTGCCCTGGTCGACCCATTGTCTCCGCCTGCTCCTGCCCCACCGAACTTATCTCCACCTATCTCGACTCCATTTTCTCCCCCTTGGTCCAGGAACTCCCCACCTACGTCCGTGACACCACCCACGCCCTCCACCTCCTCCAAAACTTCCAATTCCCCAGTCCCCAACACCTCATCTTTACCATGGACGTCCAGTCCCTAGACACCTGCATTCTCCATGCAGATGGCTTCTTCCTGTCCCGCAGGCCCGACCAGTCCCCCTCCACTGACACCCTCATCCGCTTAGCCGAACTCGTTCTCACCATCAACAACATCTCTTTCAATTCCTCCCACTTCCTACAGACAAAGGGGGTGGCCATGGGTACCCGCATGGGCCCAAGCTATGCCTGCCTCTTGTAGGATATGTGGAACAATCCCTCTTCCGTAGCTACACTGGCCCTAAACCCCACCTCTTCCTCCGTTACATTGATGACTGTATCGGCACCGCCTTGTGCTCCACGAGGAGCTCAAACGGTTCATCCACTTCACCAACACCTTCCACCCCAACCTTAAGTTCACCTGGACCATCTCTGATACCTTTCTCTCCTTCCTGGACCTCTCTGTTTCCATCTCTGGCAACCAACTGGAAACCGATATCCATTTCAAGACCAACAACTCCCACAGCTACCTAGAATACACTTCCTCCCACCCACCTTCCTGCAAAAATGCCATCCCCTATTCCCAATTCCTTCGCCTCCGCCGCATCTGCTCCCAGGATGAGGCATTCCACTCCCGTACATCTCAGATGTCTTCGTTTTTCAAGGACCGCAAATTCCCCCCCTCAGTGGTCGAGAACACCCTCGACCGTGTCTCCCGCATTTCCCACAACTCATCCCTCACACCCCCTCCCCGCAATAACAACCAAAACAGAATCCCCTCGTCCTCACTTACCACCCCACCAACCTCCGGATCCAACGCATCATCCCATGACGCTTCCGCCATCTGCAATCCGACCCCACCACCAAAGACATGTTTCCCTCCCCACCCTTATCTGCTTTCCGGAGGGATCACTCTCTCCGTGACTCCCTTGTCCGCTCCACACTCCCCTCCAGCCCCACCACACCCGGCACTTTTCCCTGAAACCGCAGGAAGTGCTACACCTGCCCCCACACCTCCCCCCTCACCTCCATCCCAGGCCCCAAGAAGACTTTCCACATCAAGTAGATTTTCACCTGCACATCTGCTAATGTGGTATACTGCATCCGCTGTTCCCGTTGTGGCCTCCTCTACATCAGGGAGACCAAGCGGAGGCTTGGGGACTGCTTTGCAGAACACCTACGTTCGGTTCGCACTAAACAACTGCACCTCCCAGTTGTGAACCATTTCAACTCCCCCTCCCATTCCTCAGACGACATGTCCATCCTGGGCCTCCTGCAGTGCCACAATGATGCTACCCGAAGTTTGCAGGAACAGCAATTCATATTCCGCTTGGGAACCCTGCAGCCCAATGGTATCAATGTGGACTTCACAAGCTTCAAAATCTCCCCTCCCCCTACCACATCCCAAAACCAGCCCAGCTCGACCCGCCTCCCTAACCTGTTCTTCCTCTCACCTATCCCCTCCTCCCACCTCAAGCCCCACCCCCATCTCCTACCTACTAACCTCATCCCGCCCCCTTGACCTGTCCATACTCTCTGGACTGACCTATCTCCTCCCTAACTCCCCACCCACACTCACCTTTACTGGCTCCATCCCCACCTCTTTGACCTGTCTGTCTCCTCTCTACCTATCTTCTCCTCTATCCATCTTCTATCCGCCTCCCCCTCTCTCCCGATTTATTTCAGAAGCCCCTTCCCCTCCCCCATTTCTGAAGAAATGTCTAGGCCCAAAACGTCAGCCTTCCTGCTCCCCTGATGCTGCTTGGCCTGCTGTTTTTATCCAGCTCTACTCCTTGTTATCTCAGATTCTCCAGCATCTGCAGTTCCTACTATCTCTAATCTCCTGGGGACCCAGGTTTGAATCCTGCCATGGTGGAATTTGAATTCAAATAAAAAAATTTGGAATTAAGAATCTGATGATGACCATAAATCCATTGCTGATTGCTGGGGTAAAAAAACATCTGGTTCACTAATGTCGTTTAGGGAAGAAAATTGCAATCCTCACCTGGTCTGGCCTACATGTGACTCCAGACCCACTGCAATATAAGTGACTCTTAACTGCCCTCTGGGCAATGAGGGATGAGCAATAAATGCTGCCTGGCCAGTGATGCCCTCATCCTGAGAATGAATTTAAAAAACACAGTTGTTCGGTATGAAAATCTGTTTTTTTTTTATTTTATAAAAATATAATTTCATTGTAATTGGCATTAAACCAAAATCTACAGGTTAAATTCTGTAGTTCCTACTATTTATTTAGGTTCGAACAAGACTGTCAATGAAAGACAACCAAACTTAGAAATGGCTGAAATTGGAGCTCATTATTTGATGTGGAGGTGCCAATGTTGGCTTGGGGCGGACAAAGTCAGAAGTCAGACGACACCAGGTTATAGTCCAACAGGTTTATTTGAAATCACAAGCTTTTGGAGCGTTACCCCTTGACGAAGGAGCAGCGGTCCGAAAGCTTTTAGACTATAACCTGGTGTTGTCTGACTTCTGACCTTGCCTATTCATATTTGTCAAGATGCCTCTTAAACATTGTTATTTTATTTGCTTCTACCACCTCCTCTAGCAATGCATTCCAGCTGCTCAACCACCCTCTGTGTAAAAAACTTACTCTCACATCTCCTTTAAATTTTCCTCCTGTTATCTTAAACCTATGTCCCTCAGTATTTAACATTTCTAACCTGGGAAACAAACTTCAACTGTCCAAACCTCTCATAATTTTATAAACCTCTATTAGGCCACCAGTCAGCCTCTGATGTTCAAGTGAAAACAATCCAAGTTTTTCCAATCGCACCTCATAGCTAATACCCTCCAAACCAGGCGACATCCTAGTGTTCCTTTTCTGTGCCCTCTCCAAATTCTCCACAAAGGAATAGCACAGTGACACAGTGTTTAGCACTGCTGCCTCACAGCACCAGGGACCCAGATTTGGGTGACTGTCTGTGTGGAGTTTGCATGTTCTCCCCATGTCTGTGTGAGTGTTGTGACCACTTCCCTCCATGTTACCACCTTAAACCCGCACCATTTCTGAAATCTGAGTGATGGTTCCTCCAGCCAAAAACAAAACAGTGTTTGTACACAGTCCATGGGATGGATCCTATCCTTGTCATGAGTTGTTAAGTTGGTGCTTCCTTTAGAACCAGGAATTACATAACAGGTAGACTAACCAAAAATCTGAACAGGAATACTTTATTGACAATGCACACACCACTAAGTCAGTTCTAGACTGCTCCACAAGCTACCTCCTCTAAGTCACCTAACCAGCTCTCTTAAAGGGGCAGCACCCTCAACTACATGTGAATAAACCCTGGCCCTGAGAACCTTCTCCAATAATTTTCGTACTGCTGATGTAAGGCTCACTGGCCTGTAATTTCCCAGATTATCCCGTTGCCCTTCTTAAACAAAGGAACATTATTAGCTATTCTCCAGTTTCATCTTCTTGCCAGTGTTAATTTTCTACAACTCTTCACTCTCACTAGAAGCTAGGATCTCAGTTCTGAGAAATTTCTGATGTCTTTCTGAGTAAAAAGAACCACAAAGTAATCATTTATCTTCTCTGACAATTCTCTATCCCCCACTATAAATTCTCCTGATTCTGCCTTCAATGGATCTGCATGCATTTTAACCTCGTGTCTAATTTTCGCCTCCTATGGAAGCTTTAACAGTCCCTTTTTCAGTTTATTAATAAATTTCATTCACATTCTATTCTCTCTTTCTTTACTAGTCTCCTGGCCCTTCTTGATGTATTCAAAAAGCTCCCAATCTTCAGATTTAATGCTATTTCTTGAAACTTTTTCAACATTTTTTTTCAATTCTAAACACCCAAACTTACAAACAGTCTGGGGTCTCCCTCAGAGTTACCTGAGAAAGGGTTGTGTCTTGTGGTTAGGGAGTAAAGGTTTTCAGTTAGCTTCAGAGAAATGGTGGATTCAGTAAATGATCATTCTGCATCAAAGTAGGTAGGAAATCTTAACATTTCAGCTTGTGTTCCTTCCAAATCATGCCTTTTTGAAACAGATGTGGTTAGCTTCCTAAGCCTTCCCTGCTAACATTCCTTGTTGTTTCTTAAGCTTCCTATTGTGCTAGAACTTGAACATTCTGTACCTTGGATGGATGGATACACTGTCATGTAGAGCAACAGCCACCGCAACACTGACACAATGGTTTCGGTGCCACCTATAATCAGATCAGTGGTGCAGGCAACTAGGTTTTCCAGAGTGAAGGTGGAATTTTCATCACCACTCACCTGCCAAAAGAAACCAGAGGCAATTAGATCTGCAGACTCGGAAAACGACATAGCAATTAGCTCCATTATTGTTAAAAAGACTCTGGGAAAAATTTGAGGAGGTAACTCCATTTTTCACATTGGACAAGTATGGTACCCATCCCATAAACATGGTGCCCATCCCATTGCCTTGATACCTACATAAAACTATGATCTATTCTTTTACCATGGACCTATCCCATTACTGTGGTACTCATTCCTGTTACAATGCCACTGTGCATATGTGATAAATTCAGTGGACTCTCACCTTAAGAGTCCAATCAAATGACTTCATGATGAAATTATTGGCTTTTTGCGAGGAAAACAGGTCAGTCTAACCTTGCCGTCTGTAGATTAAAGATCTGCATTATAAAACTCTTGCTGTTGTTTTCTGCCTCCTCCTCCTTCTTGAAATGTAACAGGTACCCATTCGGTTACCATGGAGGAGAAAACAGATTTAACATTTTAAACCCAACACGACTCTTTTTCAGAAATGAAGTGAGCTGGAAAAGTTTGGTTTTTATGTTATTTACAAAAGTGGGGAGGAGAAGGGAATGGAACAAATGGTAAAGGTGACCAGGGCAAAAGGCAAAGAGAATGCTAATGGTAGTACAAGTGGATATACCTTGAACAGCTGTTTTCTAACCAGGCATCCTGCAGGTAATCTTACTGTCCTTGAAATGTTGCTGCTGATGAGAAAAATGCAAGCTCTGACTTTGACTCTCAGCTGGCTGAGCCAACATGCTCAGTTCCAAATTTCTTCACGGTTTCATCTCCAAACGCTTTTCTTTAGGGCCAAGAAAATTAAATGCCCTATAATACATTGACTACCAGTGAAAGAAATTTGCATGACCTGGTGATGTATAATGAGGCAGATTAATTATTGATCTGAGAGTAAAAGATCCCCTACGGAATAGTAACTATAACATAGCAGAATTTAGCATTCAGTTTGAGAAATGTGTGTCAGAAATAACTGTGCTACACGTAAATAAGGATAGGTAGATTGTGGGTGACACAAAAAGTCTGCAGAGAGATATGAACAGGTTAAGTGAGTGAACAACAACTTGGTAGATGAAATAAAATATGAAAGAATGTGAGGTAATGCATTTTGGCAGGAAGAATAAAGATAGCAGCAGCACAGCGGGATTTGGAAGTTCTTGTGCATGAATTAAAAAATGGTTAACATCGAGGTCAGCAGGTCATAGGGAAAGAAATGGAATGTTGGCCTTTATTTCAAAGGGAAAGGAGTACAGAAATAAGACCTTCAAACTACAATGCTTGTGTTAGGTGCCAAGTATCTGTCTATCCTAATCCCCTTTTCCAGCACTTGACCCTTGACATTTGAACTTCCGCAATCTCACCCCACTATGAAGGATATATTTCCCTCCCCACCTTTATCTGCCTTCCAGAGGGACCGCTCTCTCCAAGACTCCCTCGTCTGCTCCACACTCTCCACTAGCCCCACCATACCCAGCACCTTTCCCTGCAACTGCAGGAGGTGCTACACCTGCCCCTACACCACCCCCTCACCTCCATCCCAGGCCCCAAGAAAACCTTCCACATTAAACAGATGTTCACCTGCACATCCGCTAATGTGGTCTATTGTTTCCGCTGTTCCCGATGTGGCCTCCTCTACATGGGTGAGACCAAGCAGAGGCTCGGAGGCCACTTTGTAGAACACCTATGCTCGGTTCACAACAAACGACAACACCTCCCAGTCACGAACCACTTGAACACCCCCTCCCACTCCCAGGACAGCATGTCCATCCTGGGCCTCCTTCAGTGTCACAACAATGCCACCCGGAAACTGGAGGAACAACACCTCATATTCCACCTTGGAAGCCCACAACCCAAAGGTCTCAATGTGGACTTTACTAGTTTCAAAATCTCCCCACCCCCGACCTCATCCCAAGACCATCCCCCTCACCACTCATCCCCACCTCATTGACCTGTCCATCTTCTCTCCTACCTATCAGCGCCTCCCACCTCACTGACCAATCCCCTCCATCTCTATTTATTTCAGAACCCCCTTCCCCTCCCTCATTTCTGAAGAAGGGTCCTGACCCGAAATATCAGCTTTCCTGCTCGTCTGATGCTGCCTGGCCTGCTGTGTTCCTCCAGCTTCACACCTTGTTATATTTGAACACATGGCATGTGTTCATGCATGTATTTCTCCCACCTCTACCAGCCTTTCAGACAGTGAGTTCTGGATAACCACACTCCACTGAGTGAAAAAATGTTTCCTCAAATCTAGTCTGAACCTCCTGCTTCTTTCTTAAATCTGTGCCACTTTGTAATGTTCCCTCTACTAATGGGAAGAGTTTCTCCCTGTCTGCATTAAGTGTGTCCCTCAGAATTTTGTATACCAACATCAGCTAATACCCTAACTATAATGCCTCAGCCTTCCATGTCCCATTGAGTCTGCTCGGCCATTTGATCATAGCTGATATGTTTTTCAATCCCATTCTCCTTCCTTTTTCCTGTAATCTTTGATCCCTCTAAAAAAAAGCAACTCCAGTCTATCTATTTTCCCTTTATGGCACCATCATAATTTCCTTACTCTTATATTCAATACTGAATAATAAAGGCAAGTGTCTCCATCTGCTTTCTTATCCAAAGCCAAAAGAATGACGGATGCTGTTCTGAGGAAGGGTCACCAGAGCCAAAACGTTAGCTGTAATTTTTCTTCACTGATATTGCCAGACTTGCTGAGCTTTTCCAGCAACTTCTGTTTTTGTGCCTTCTTAACCACCTTATCAATCTGTCCTGCCACCTTCAAGGATCTTTGGACACATACACAAAGGATCCTCTATACTTCCCAGGATTTTACCACTCAATGTGTGCTCCCCTGCCTTGTTAGTCCTCCAAGAATGCATCATTTCACACTTTTCAGGATCAATTCCATTTGCCACTGTTCAGCCCATCTGACCATATTGACTGAAAGAACTGCAGATGCTGTAAATCAGGAACAAAAACAAAGTTGTTGGAAAAGCTCAGCAGATCTGGCAGCATCTTTGAAGGAAAAAACAGAGTTAACGTTTCGGGTCTGGTGACCCTTTCTCAGAACTGATGGTGGCTGGGAAAAACGGCAGTTTATATGCAGAAAATAGGGAGTTGGGTTGGGTAGGGAGTAAACGATAGGATAGAGCCCAAAGAGAGACAGAGAGACAGTTAGACAGACAAAGGAGTTGCTAATGATCAGGCTAGGAGGGTGATTAGTTGTTAATGGGGATTGTTAGTGATTAACAACAGGGGGTGCGTAGTGGCAGGCTATGTGGTAACACGGCCTGGTGTGTGGGGTGAGGGGCTGGGACATGGGAGAGTTTAGGCCCTAAAATTGTTGAACTCAATATTGAGTCTGGAGGGCTATAGGGTCCCCAGGCGGAAAGTGAGGTGTTGTTCCTCCAGGTTGCATTGGGCTTCACTGGAACACTGCAGCAAGCCAGAGATGCAGATGTTGGCCAGGGAACAGGGTGGTGCGTTAAAGTGGCAGGTAACAGGTAGTTCAGGGTCTTTTTTGCGAGCAGAACGTAAATGTTCTGCGAAGCGGTCGCCTTGAAAAATAACCCATTGGCCACAGCATTTTTTTTTGTTGCACTCATCTAGGCAAGTGAGCAGCATTCCATCACAATCCTGACTTGTACCTTGTAGATAGTGGGCAGGCTTTGGGCAGTCAGTTACTAACTTCAGTATTCCTAGCTTCTGACCCTCTGTTGTAGCCTCTGGATGTTGATAGTAGTGGTAACATCATTGAATGTCAAGGGACGATGGTAATGATTGTTTCTTATGTCACTGCTACAAGTCAGCCCAGGCCTGGGTATTTCGCCGATCGTGATGTATTTGGACATGCTCTGCTTCAGTCCATGCGGAACAAAGAACTGTAGAGCACAGAGTGATTCCATTTGGCCCGCCAAGACTGCGCCAACACATGATGCCTTTCTAAATGAAAAATCTTTTGCGTCCAAGTGATCCGTACTCCTCTATTCCACGCCTATTCCTGTGTCTGTCAAGATGCCTTTTAAATATTGCTATTGGATTTACTTATCCCATCTCCTGTGACAGCACATTCCAGGCACTTAGTATTGTCTGTGTAAAAAATTTGCCTCTTACAACTCCTTTAAACTTTCCCCCTTTTATCTTAAACCTATGCAACCTTCATAATTAACATTTATACCTTGTGCAAAAGACTCTGACTATTCATTCTATCCATACCTCTCATAATTTGGTAAACTTCCATCAGATCACCCCTCAGCCCTTGACATTCAAGTGAAAACAAACTAACTTTGTCTAATCTCTCCTCATAGCTCCAAACCAGGCAACAAACTGATAAAAGAGACAACAAGGTGCAGGGCTGGATGAACACAGCAGGCCAAGCAGCATCATAGGAGCAGAGAGGCTGACGTTTCGGGCCTAGACCCTTCATCACAAACTGATAAATCTTTTCTATACCATCTCCAAAGCCTCCATACCCTTCTAGTAGTGTAGTGACCAGAACCGTATGCAATATTCCAAACATGGCCTAACTAAAGTTCCATACAGCTGTAACATGTGTTCCAAAGTTGGGTAAAATAATTGTGAAGTGGAAGGCAGGAAGCTAAAATGTGTGAGATAACACAGTGTGAAGCTGGAGGAACACAGCAGGCCAGGTAGCATCAGAGAGGCAGGAACGTTGACGGGTCCCAAACTGAAATGTCAACTTTTCTGCTCCTCTGATGCTGCCTGACCTGCTGTGTTCCTCCAGCTCCACACCTTGTTATCTCAGACTCCAGCATCGGCAGTTCCTACTATCTCTGAGTAAGCTATAATGTGTGGTTCCCTTAAGAGATTTGTGCTTTGTCTGTACTTAGAATTTTTAAAAAATGTACGTTAGGTGTCAGTGCGGAGAGCCTCAAAAAGTGTATCAAAAAAAGCCTTACAGGTGGCAGGTAAAACATCAGTCTTGTTTTGATGTTGTGACAAGTTTGAATTTGGCCAATTAATTTAAATGAAGCACCGAGATAGAGAAAGCCTCATATTATAAGAATTTGATTATGTCATTACAGGTATATAAGACAACGGCATTTGAAAACTGGGGAGAGCCAACTGCCAGAGTTAGCACCATTCAGCTCTCAGAGGAAGCCCATCTAATTAATCAAAGGTACCACGGCAGTTTAGCTTGAAGTCCTCATTGAAGAAATTATAGAAGTAAACGAAGAAAAGTATTTGTGAAGAGATTGGAGATGACTGAATGTTTCACAAGACAGTCTGTGTGAACTAAGGGATTAAGTTATAATTTATAGCTTGTTCTTTGTTGGGTTTATATTAGTGGGACTTGTGTTTATTTAAGCAGCATTCCAGTAGAATTTAAACCAGTTAGGGAGTATTTTGTAGTCTAAGGGGGGAATTGTTGGTTTGTTAGTAATTTTGTTAATTTGTTCATTGTTGGGTTAAATAAATAAATTGTTTCTTGTTACTCATAAAGTGGAGATCAGGGATTTTCTTTCTTTTAAACACTCTTAATAGATTATGAAGGGAATGATGAGCTTGTCTGGATGTTTAGGAGGTAATTACTAGCGGAGAACCCCTACTCCTGTCATAACAGATCGGGGCTTGTGTTTTAGTTTAATTATCAGAGGAGCTTGGCCATTCCCAGTCATAATACATGTGTTGCCAATTTTTATATTCTATGCCCCGACCAATGAAGGCAAACATGCCATATCTTCTTGACTACCTTATTAACTTGTGTTGCCACTTTCAGGGAACTGTGGCTTTGTGCACCTAAATCCCTTTCTATTTGAATGGATTTGTGATTACAACATAGAACATAGAACAGTACAGCACAGTACAGGCCCTTCAGCCCACGATGTCGTGCCAAACTTTTACCCTAAACCTAAGGTCTATCTAACCTCTACCCCTACCTTATACTGTCACCCATATGCCTATCTAATAGCCACTTAAATGTCCCTAATGAGGCCGACTCCACTACCCTCTCCGGCAATGCATTCTATGCCCCGACCATTCTCTGAGTAAAGAACCTACCTCTGACGTCTCCCCTATATCTACCTCCACTCACTTTAAAACTATGCCCCCTCATAATAGCTACCTCCACCCTAGGAAAAAGTGTCTGACTGTCCACTCTTATCTATACTTCTGATCATTTTGTACACCTCTATTAAGTCACCTCTCATCCTTCATCATTCTAAAGGGAAAAGCCCTAGCTCTCTCAACCTTTCCTCGTAAGACCTTCCCTCCATTCCAGGCAACATCCTGGTAAATCTCCTCTGCATCTTTTCCAATGCTTCCACATCTTTCCTGTAATGAGGTGACCAGAACTGGACACAATACTCCAGATGTGGCTGAACCAGGCTTTTGAATAGTGATTGATAGTGAACATTATGCAATCATCAGTGAACATTCGCATTTGTGACATTATGATGGAGGAAAGGTCATTGATGAAGCAGCTGAAGGTGGTTGGCCTAGCATGCTACACTAAGGCATTCCTGGAGCTGAGATGACTGACTATCAACAACCACAGGCATCTTTCTATATGCCTGATATGACTCCAACCAGTAGAGAGTTTTCTCCAATTCCCATTGACTCCAGTTTTGCTCAGGATCCTTGATGCCGCACTCAGTCAATTGTAGCCTTGATGTCAAAGGCAGTCAGTCTAACTTCAGCTCTGGGTTGCAGCCTTTTGTCCATGTTTTGGTCAAATGAGATCAGGCATTGAGTGGCCCTAGCAAAACCCAAACTGGGCAGCACTGAGCAGGTTATAGCTGAGCAGGTGCTGCTTGATGACACCTTCCAACACTTTACTGATGATCGAGAGTGGACTGATAGGGCAGTAATTGGCTGGGTTGGATTTGTTTTTCATGTACAGGACGTACCTGGCAATTTTCCACATGGTCAGGTAGATGCTAGTGTTGAACTGAACTAGAACAGCTTGGCTAGGGGAGTGGCAAGTTCTGGAGCACAAGTCTTCAACACAAATGTTAGAATATTGTCAAGACCCATAGCCTCTGCAGTATCCAATGCCTCCAATCATTTCTTGATATCATGTAAAGTGAATCGAATTGGCTGAAGACTGGCATCCATAATGCTGGGGACCATTGGAACACAGAAAGGTGGATCATCCACTTGGCATTTCTGGCTGAAGGTGTTTGTGAATGCTTCAGACATGCCTTTTGCACTGTTGTGCTGTGCTCATGTTGCAGGGAATCACTGGAATGCACTGATTCAAAATTCAGAACACCCACTGATTAGGTTAATGAGATGGCCTGTTATAAAGGTAAAGTCGTCAATGTTTTACTGGACTTTTAGACTGCTCTCTCATTAGATGGAAATGTCTGTTGGTAGTTTAACGTGAGGTCACCATGCCTCAGGCCAGGGGATAGGTTGAGAATGAGAGTCCCTCATGGTAACCTCAGTTGGTACAGGACTTGAACCCACACTTGACATCACATGGCATCACTAACCAACCTACCAGCTAACTGAACTAATCAACGCCCCTATAGTTGTGAGATAGTTATAGTCATTGAGCACAGAAACAGATCCTTGGGTCCAACTCATCCATGCTGACCAGACATCCCAATCTGACATACTCCCATTTGTCAGCATTTGGCTCATTTCGTTCCAAACTCTTCTTATTCATATTCCCATCCAAATGCCTTTTAAATGTTGCAATTGTACTAGCCTCCGCCACTTCCTCTGGCAGCTCATTCTGCACACACACCACCCTCAGCATGAAAAAGTTACCCTTCTGGTCCTTTTTAAATCTTTCCCCGCTGACCTTGAACCTATGCCCTCTAGTTTTGGACTCCCTCCACCCTAGGAAAAAGACTTTGGCTATTCACCCTATCAATGACCATCATGATTTTATATACCCCTATAAGGTCACCCACTCAGCCTCTGGCACTCCAGGGAAAAAACTCCCAGCCTGTTCAGCCTCTCCTATAACTCAAATCCTTCAGTCCTGGCAACATCCCTGTAAACTTTTTCTGCACGCTCTCAAGTTTAACAACATCCCAGAGTTAAACTGCCTAATACTAGGGGGCACACATTTAAAGTGAGAGTCAAAAAGTTCAAAGGAGATGTGAGGGGCAAGTTTTTTTTACAGAGAGTGGAACGCACTTCGAAGGGTGATGGTAGTGAAGGTCATTTAAGGGACTTTTAGATAAGTACACGAATATGCAAGAAATGGTGGGATAAGGACAAATGGGAGGCAGAAGGGATTAGTTTCATTTGACTCCATTTTTGGCACAACATCATGAGCCAAAGGGCCTGTTCCTGTGCTGTATAGTCCTATGTTCTAACATCCTTCCTATGAAAGGGCTACCAGAATTGAACGCAGTATTCTAAAAGTGGCCTCACCAATGTCCAGTACACTAACATCCCAACTCATTAACTCAATGTCCTGACCAATGTTTTAGGTTTTAGACTGTATCGGCTTTAGTATTAGAAACAATTCATCTACATTTCCTTGCCCAGCAAAGAAGAACTACATTTGTCTTAAAGAACTTTAGCATAAATGCTGCTCAATCAAGGCAAATATAAGGAATAGATTGTTGTGAGAAACTGAAACTCAGACTTCTTAACAACAAGGACAGTTGTGCCAGGAGATAAAAATGCACAGCAGAGATTCCCTTCACCTGAAGAGTACAGTTGAAAAGTTCACTTTTAAAATATTAAACATTTAAATTAATTCATTTAATGGAATAGAAATGGCTGAGCATACAGTGTATTACCCCTGTAGTCTAGGTGGCTGCTGATGTGATCCACAGTGACCACAAGCAGATCAAGTAGACAGAGGTGAAATCTTTCTACTGAGTCTTTGGGCCACTAACAAGGGACATAGTTTAAAGGTAGAGGAGGGAGGTTTTGAGAAGACTTGAGCAAAACTTTTTCACCCAGAGCATTATGAATACCTGAAACTCACTGTCCTAAATGTGGGAACTATCAAGACATTTAAGAATTATTTACATGAGCACTTGAAACGCCATGATTTCCAAAGCTACAGTTCAAGTGCTTGAAAATTGGATGAGAATGGATGTTTAAGGATCACGGGCAAAAGGGCCTCTTTCCATGCTGCAAAAACTCCACAACTCCATCAAACAAGTAAATTACAGGGATATAGTGAAAGAGGAGAGTTGGTGAACACTATTCCTAACTGTTTTACCTCAACCTTTGTATCTCTCTCTAGCTTCAATTAAACTTCACAATATCATGTCTGTCACCCTTTCCATTTTCTGTTTTCTTGCCTCTGTGTTTGTGTAATTTCACAATTATACATGTTCCTTTGCTTGACAAAGTGATAGACATTTAAATTATTGCTCACTGATTCCTCACCTTCTCCATTTTATTCAAGTAACAGTCAGTGAAATCTCGTGGAGTCTCAGGATTTCTACTCATTTGATGATGGTTGACTTGCTGTAAGAGGATCTCCACCAGCTGATGCCATTCTGCAAACAGCCTCTGATGTGCTCCTGGCATGAACTGCATCACCATTGGCAATAGGTTATACAACTGGAATTAAATAAAAAGCATGTCATATAGTATTCTTCAAACAAACATTCTACGCAAACAGGCCATTCTACCCACTTGGCCCACGCTAGTGTTTGTGACACAAATCTGCTTCATTCAACTCACCCTGTCACTACAATCCTTCCACTCCTTATATGTGTTAATTTATTATTTAGGCGAAGATGTTTCTTTTGAATTACCCAATGCGTAATCAGTACATAGTAACATAGAAAATAGAAGTGGGAGTTCTAGTCCAGGATTCTCTCAAGGTAAACTTGCAGGTTGAGTCAGTAGTCAGGAAGGCAAATGCAATGTTGACATTTATTTTGAGGGGACTTGAATATAAAAGCAGGGATGTACTACTGAGGCTTTATAAGGCTCTGGTCAGGCCACATTTAGAATACTGTGTGCAGTTTTGGACACCATATCTCAGGATGGATGTACTGGCCCTGGAGCGGGTTCACAGGAGGTTCATGAGAATGGTCCCAGGAATGAAAAGCTTAACATACGAGGAACGTTTGAGGACTCTGGGGCTGTACTCATCGGTGTTTAGAAGGATGAGGGGGGATCTAATTGAAACTTTCAGAATACTGAATGGCCTGGACAAAATAGATGTTGGGAAGATGTTTCCATTGGTAGGAGAGACTAGGACCCGAGGGGACAGCCTTAGAGTAAAGGGAAGACCTTTTAGAATGGAGATAAGGAGAAACTTCTTCAGTCAGACAGTGATGAATTTATGGAATTCACTGCCACAGAAGGGTGTAGAGGCCAGGTCATTGAGTACGTTTAAGTCTGAGAAAGATAGGTTCTTGATTATCAAGGGGATCAAGGGTTATGGGGACAAAGCAAGAGACTGCAGTTGAGGAACTTATCAGCCATGATTGAATGGTAGAGCAGACTCGATGGGCCAAATGGCCTAATTTCTGCTCCTTTGTTTTATGGTCCTATGGTCTTATGGCCATTCAGCCCTTCGAGTCTGCTCTGTCATTCAAAATGATTGTGGCTGATCATCCAACTCAGTACCCTGTTCATGTTTTCTCCTCAAATCCTTGGATCACTTTAGCCCTTAAAATTATGTCTACCTCCTTCTTGAAAATGTTCACTGATTTGACCTCAACCACCTTCTATGGCAGAGGATTCCAAGCCTCACCAATATCTGGCTGAAAAACTTTTTCCTCATCTCAGTCCTAAATTACCTACCTTGTCTCCTTAAACTGTGATCCCTTGTTCTGGACACCCCGGTCATCAGGAATGTCCTTCCTGCATTTATCCTGTCTGATCCTATTAGAATTTTATAGGTTTCAGTGAGATCCCCCTCATCAAACTTTGAACAGTACAGCACAGCTCTCAGCTCATCATGCCTGTGCTGACCATGACGCCATTCTAAACTAATCCCATCTGTCCATATCCCTCTATTCCCTCCCAGTTCATGAGTCTGACTAAATACCTTTTTAACATTGCCATTGTTTCCATGCAAAGCCTGCGATAAACATTACATTGGCCAGACAGGAAGAAAATTGGCTACAAGTGTACATGAACACCAACAGCAACAAAAAGACACGACCAATAGTCACTCATCTACATTCACATGGATAAGGAGAACTACCAGTTCGATTGGGGCAACACCAGGATCCTAAGACAGGACAAACAGAGATGAGCATGGGAATTCCAAGAGGCCTGGTTCTCCACCAAGAAGGCCATCAACAAACACATAGAACTACACCCAAATATACACCACTGTGAAGGAAAACCAGAAATGAGATAATCAAATCCAACGGACCCCAGAGTTTAAATACCAGGCAGGAAAACAAAACAGCGCTTCATCGGAGGCCGCACTGATGACGCTACCCAGCAAGGTAATGAAATGTCTGCAAACCAACGAACCAGCTCAGTAAGCGAACCAACCACAGCATTGCTATTATATCTTCTTTGACCACCTACCCTGGCAGCACGTTCCAGGCATCTACCACCCTCTATGTAGAAAACTTGCCTCACACGTCTCCTTTTAATTTTTCTCCTTCTCACTTTAGATCTATTCGACATGTCCACCCTATCGATGCCTTTCATAATTTTATACACTTATATCCGGTTGTTCCTGAGCCACAAATGACCCTGAAAAAACAGTCCAAGATTGTCCAGTCTCTCCTTATAGCTAATGCACTGATATCCATGCAATATCCTTGTAACCCTCTTCTGCACCCTATCTAAAGTCTGAACATTCTTGTTATAGTGTGGCCTTCCTGTAGTCTTCCTATAGCCCTTCCTATAGTCTTCAAAACTGCATTGAATAAAGTCTAACTGATCCAGTTTGTCTTCATACATTAGTCCTGTCATTCCCAGCAATCAGTTCGGTAAACACTTGTTGTACCCCCTCCACAGACAGAATACCCTTCTTCAGATATAATATATAATGTTTTAGACTGACTGACATGTATAAGACATCTTTAATGTCATAAAATATTTTAAGGTGCTTATCAGGAATATTAACAACAAAATATGACAGAATCAGAGGGCGGCTGAGAGTCATCACAGCGGAATTCTGGGAAACATTGCCACAGTCATCATGACTGTACAGCAGGTCAGAGAGAACCTGGTGTCAAGGTATGGTTTTGGTGTGAGGAGGCTGAGGAAGCTGAGCAGGGGTACAGGTAAGGGCTCTTTAACTCCCTGTCAAGACCCAAGACCCAAGACCCAAGACCCAAGACCCAAGACCCAAGACCCAAGACCCAAGACCCAAGACCCAAGACCCAAGACCCAAGACCCAAGACCCAGCAGTTTGGGCAGTGGCATGCTCCTCTTGCAGGATGTGGGAGATCAGGGAGACTTCCAGTTGCCCTGGTGGCTATACCCGCGAGAAGTGCACCCGGCTGCATCTCCTGACAGACCACGGTAGGGAACAGGAGCTGGAGGTGGATGCACTCAGGACTATCTGAGATGCAGAGTATATCACAGATAAGAGTTTTAATGAGGTGGTCACACCTAAGGTGCAGGCAGACAGTATCTGGGTGACCACCAGGAAAGGCAAAGGGAGTAAGCAGAGAGTGCAGGAATCCCCTGTGGCCATTCCCCTCGAAAACACATATACCCATTTTAGATACTGTTGGGGGGATAACCGTTCAGAGGAAAGCCCCAGTAGGCAGGTCAGTGGCACTATGACTGGCTCCACGGCACAGCGGGAAAGGGTAAAGGTAAACAGGATCTTAGTGATAGGAGACTCGATAGTTAGGGGGATAGACAGGAGATTCTGTGGCTGCCAATAGGAATCCAGGATGGTGTGTTGCTTCGCAGGTGCCAGGGTCCAGGATGTCTCCGAGCAGCTGCAGAACGTTCTCAGGGGGAAGGGTGAGCAGCCAGAAGTCATTGTGCACATTGGCACAAATGACATAGATAGAAATAGGGATAAGGTCCTGCAGAGTGATTATAGAGGGCTCGAAAAAAAGTTAAAAACCAGGCCCTCGACGGTGGTAATCTCCAGATTACTTCCAGTGCCATGTGTTAGTGAGGGTAAGAACAGAGAGATATGGCAGATGAATGTGTGGCTAAAGAATTGGTGCAGGGGGCAGGAATTCAGATTCCTGGATCATTGGGATCTTTTCTGGGGCAGAGATGAACTGTTCAAGAAGGACAGTTTCCACCTGAACTGGAGCGGGGACCAATATCCTGGTGGGCAGATTTGCTAGTGCTGCAAGGGAGGGTTTAAACTAAATTGGCAGGGGGTGTGGTTTGGTCCTTAACAGCAGAGAGGCAAGTGTGAGGGTGGAAGCAGATACAGTAATCAGAAATAGAAAGTTGAAGAGAAAGGTCAAGCTGGAACAGGCCAGGGAATGAGGAATGCCTGTTGGACTAAATTGCATCTATTTCAATGCAAGAGGGCTGACAGGTAAGGCTGATAAACTCAGGGTGTGGATAGGTACGTGGGGCTGGGATATTATAGCCATTACATAAATATGGCTAAAGGAGGGACAGGACTGGCAGCTTAATGTGCCAGGGTGCAGGTGTTTTAGGCAGGACAGAGGTGGAGGAAAGAGGGGAGGGGGAGTTTTATATTTGACTCAGGGGAGTATAACAGCAGCAGTCAGAGATGAAATAACTGAGGGGTCATCCGGTAGGGCTTTGTGGGTGGAGCTAAGAATTAAGGAGATGTTGACGTTATTGGGGTTGTACATAAGCCCCCAAATAGTCAACAGGAATCAGAGGAACAAATATGCACGGAGATTGCAGAGACTTGCAGGACAAATAGAGTTTTCATAGTAGGGGATTTTAAGTTTTCCTAACATAGACTGGGACTGCCATAGTGTTAAGAGATTAGATGTTAAATGTGTTCAGGAAACTTTCCTCAAGCAGTATATAGAGGGTCCTACTCAAGAGGGGGCAAAACTCCACCAACTCTTGGGAAATAGGGCAGGACAGGTGACTGAGGTGATGGGGGAACACTTTTGGGACCAGTGACTCTAGTTCTATTAATTTTAAAATAGTTATGGAAAAGGACAAAACCTGTCCACAGGTTCAAGTTCTAAATAGGGGCAGGCCAATTTTGATGGAATTAGACAGGATCTTGCAGGGCTTGATTGGAGTAGCTTGTTTGCAGGCAAAGAAACCTCTGGCAAGTGGGAGGCCTTTAAAAGTGTGATAGCTAGAGTTCAAGGTCTATATGTTCCTGTGAGTCTTAAGGGCAAGGTTGGCAGGGAACCCTGGATGACAAAAGATATTAAGGCTTGGATCAGGAAAAAGAAAGAGGCATGGGTCAGGTACAGGCAGCTGGGATCAAGGGAATCTCTTGAGGTATATAGAGGATACACGAGTTTATTGAAGAAGGAAAACAGGAGGGCTAACAGGGGCCATGAGATAACTTTGGCTGAGAAGATTAGGGTGAATCCAAAGAGATTCTTCAAGTATATTAAAAGGAATATCTAGAGAGAGAATAGGACACCTCAAGGACCAAAGTGGACATGTGTGTGTGGAACCGCAGGAGATGGGTGAGGTCTTCAATGAATATTTCTCCA